TGCTGACCTTGAGGTTAGCAGCCTGATTCGTAACCCCTACGCTACCATAGCTCCTTGGTAAGGTGAAGGGTCTGAGAAAAAGAGGAAGACCCCCAATGAGATGGATTAGCCAAGTGGCAGCATCAACGGACTCAAGTGTGGCAACAGTGGTGAGGTTGACCCAGGATCAACAGTGTTTTGTTCTGCTGTGCAAAAGAAGGTTGCTATGGGTCGGTACCGACTCGAAGGTACAAAACAACAACAACAACATATTGACAACATAGTTTGCTTTCTAGTGGACAAATAAGCTTTTGTACTACCTTCTAATCTCTGTGTATATGATATGGAAAGAGTATATTCTTTGTTAGTAAAGAAAACCAAGTCAATTGTGTTAAAATACAGTATAAAAATACACTTTTGAAAGTTCAGTAGGAAATATTCACATAAGTCATTACTCCATTAAATTGGATTATCAAATAAAAAAGTCAGTAGGAAATCTGCAATATCAAGTTGAGGAAATCTTGCAGAAAATAGTACAAAAGAGATGGAAAATGGAAGAAGAAAATTAAGGCATTACAGGATTAAGTCAAGAGTGCCAGGAAAAAGAAAAATTAGAGAAGAATTTATCAAAGAAGTAAGAATATTTGCTACAACCAAAGGCTTCACATCGTCAAATTGAAAGGACTTATTATTGAAGTGTTAAGGGTGAAAAAGCCCAATCAATGAAAGGGTTAAATTTCAGAATACCAAGCAAAGCCCTAAAGTTTCCAGGAAGGAAAATCAAACAGGTCAAACAGGTCCCATATAATGGCATCAGCTTTTCAACAGCAACACTAGAAGTTAGACGGACATGAGACAACACTGTCCATTTCAAAATGATTTTCAATCTTGACTTCTACATTCAGCTAAAACTATGCTGGCGCTGTACCATCAGCACAAGGTTGGTGGTTCAAACCCACCAATTGCTCCTTGGGAATTCTGTACATGGTCTCTTCTCTATAAGTCATAACCAACTTGATTGCACTTAACAACAACAACAAAGACTCTACAAATTTAACTTTCACACGTAACTTATAAGGAGTCAACTCAGAGTAGGGAAGCATATTTTGAATGATCATTTATAGAAAGCTCAGAGAGTAACCAGTTCAGATTTGAGAAAAACTTGAGGAAGAAAGCGAGAGGACAGCTGTAGTTGAATATAGAGAAAATATTGTCTGACACGTGACATCAGCTAAAAGTTAACAACAATGGTTCCAAAACTAAGCAATTGAGAAAAGGCACTTTTGGGGTTGGGGGGTGGGAAGGATTGTATAAGAAAGAAAAGAAATCAGAGTATATTATCTAACATTCCATAGAACAATATTCACAGGCTCATCCTATGAAGCAAGATTCACTAACATAAAATCTACCATTTTAAAGCAGGCAACTCAGTGATTTTAGAGTGGTCATAATGTTCTGTAAGCCCCACCACTGTCTGATTCTGTCTGATTCCAGAACATTATCACCACCAAGAGGAACCCTGACTTTATTAAGCAGTCACTTTCTAAACTTCTACTTCTTAATCTCTGGCAACCACTAATTGACTGTTGGTCATAAAACATGTGTCTTTTGAGTCTGGCTTCTGTTACTTTGCATGATATCTTCAAGGTTAAAAAATGTTTCAGTACTTTATTCCTTTGCACTGATTGGCTGGGTACGCTACATTGTGTTTGTCCATTCATAGATGTACATAAAGGCTTTTCCCACTGTAGGGTTGTTATGAATGATGCTGCTTTGATTTAAATATTTTCTTCTATTCTGTGGGTTACCTTTCCATTTTCTAGCTAGTGTCTTTTAATATGCTTATAACTACATTCATTTTGATGGCATTCTAATTCCTAATCTTTTATATATAGTGGACTTGTCTTATTTTCCTTTCTGAATACTTTTATATTCTGGTATTCTGAAATTTATCTATTTTTGTTTTTTCCTGTTTAATGAACAAAACACTTGGTAGGCCCTTTTGATGACAAGCTATGATGACCAAAGATACTTTGGTTCTATGGGATAATTAAACCCTGTTCTACCATGGACAGAAGTCAACAGACAACATCTAAAATGGACACATTAAGAAATGGTGAAAAGGCCAGAGATGGGGTAGAGATGAAGACATGGAGAGACAGAGCAGCTGAGGACTCTAGACTCACGGAAAGAGAAAGGCTGTGTGATGGTGGCCAGAAGGCAGACTTGTAGAATGTGCCGTTTGGTTGCTGAAATGATTATATATTCCTGAGTGTTTTAGTGTACATCACCCCCCCCCCCCCAAAAAAAAAACCCACAGAAGAAATAGAAGCAAATACTGTTGAATGATGATGCATGGAGGCAATAGTAATCATTGCAATGAAGCAATGAGTGTAAAGTCGATATTCTCCCATGTAAACTACCACTCACTGCACAATAAAAACTTAAAAAAAGAAATGGTGAAAGGGGCATAAGATTTGGAAGTATGAAGGAAAATACCAGGGACAACATGGAATAGAATTGACAGTGACCATGAATGGAGGATAAGGAGCTCTGGTAGCGAAGTGGTTACGAATTGGGCTGCGTAACTTAAGGTTAGCAGTTCGAAACTACCAGCCGCTCTGCGGGAGAAAGATGAGGCTTTCTGCTCCCGTAAAGATTTACAGCCTCGGAAACCCTGTACGGGGTCGCTGTGGGTCGGAACCAACTCTATGGCACTTAACAACAACAACAACAACATAAATAGAGGATGGGGAAGAATGTGACTACTTTTAAAAGACTGTTAGTATTATCTGTCTTAAAAGATACGGCTATAGTTGATTTTGAAAGGAAAAAGAAAAGCTAGTTATGTTTAATTTGGCAGCTTTGACATGGATGTGTGTGTGGTAGCTTGTCCTCTGGAAAATTCTTCTCAGATGGGGCTGCCCCGCCTCTGCCACATCACTGTCTCATTTCCTACCCCCATGTTATCTATGTTTCCCCTCGTTTTGCATTCATCCAAGTTTATTGAGTACAGGACTTTTGCGACAACAAGAAACAATTCCATTAAACAAATTTTTAAAGATCTAAGCTTTAAATGGAAGCCAAGAGTCTTCAAATTCTCCCTGTCTTGTTCACAAGACCTCTTTCACTTCTGGTTAATGAGACTGCTGGTATTTAAGAATAACTTAAACTTCTTTTAAACATCATTCTTTTGTAAGTTCTAGGCTCCTCCATTTTTCAAAAAAACATTTTGGGGTGGGGAGGCAGGCCGATGGTACTTACTCTGACTCTCTCCATCTGAGTGCTGAATGGGTACAGCAATTCAAACATAATCAGTCCTAAAGAGAAGATGTCCACTTTGTGAGAGTAGTTGTTTCCATGAATCTGAAATCCCAAACAAAACAGAACAGATGAATAGATGGTAGGCTTAATTCTATGCTATTTGTATAATAATAACCAAGGTTTATCTAGCCACTTTATTTAAATGTAATGGTCTTAGTAAAAATGTTAGTAAAGAGTTAATAAAGCTACCAGTAGCTTTTCTTCAATTCACCACACCAAGAGTAATTAAACTACTCAGCATTACAGAAGGGAAGCCTGGGTATAGCTCAGAGATATGCATCAGTGAAATAGGCCCACAGAAAGCTGGAGCCTTGCAATGCTAAAAACGTTTGTGGGAGCCAGTAAAAGCTGCTCATCTGCCCCTAAGGTGAAGTTTTTCAAAGCAAGCACTATCTGAAGCAAATCTCTCATTTCTAATCATCTTAGTTCTCACCCATTTTTATGAGAAAATCTCCATTACTCCAAACTACTAATCAACTGTGCTTAGCCCTCATTATGGCACTTAATTATGGACTGCTTTGCATTCTTACTTTTATTTTTCATGTGTATATTCCTTATTCTTCACATCTAGCTTGTAAAGTCCGGGAGGGAAAGCAACGAATTCTTTTGTATTCCTATCATCCAGGGGCCTAAGTATAGAGAAGGCCCTCAATAAATGGCCAAATGAACAAATGAATTACAGCTGAACTGCTCTATTAAACAAAGCCTTATTCAAATGAAAAGTGATCTCCTGGGACTCAGAAAAACTCTTTTATTTGTGAATGCTACTTTCAGGCACATAACTTGTCATTTGGCAAATTGTCAAAGAAAGGTGTCCCTTTGGAAATGCCCAACACAAGTATTTCTTAAGTGGGGGGTTGTTAGAACGGGTTTTGACAAGGTTCACGATGCCCTTCACAAACTCCTTTCTAAACTTTCCTTGGTATCTGTCCCTCTCGGCTGAGTAGCTTTTTCTGCTTACTTCTATACTTTTACAACATCTGACAGAAAGTTTTAGTGGATGTCTTAGCTGGACTACTCTCCTCCCTTCCATGTCTCATCCCTAGGACTTGGGAAATATTCAAAGGCAGTGTGTTCAAAAGCCAAGCTGAGAGGGACAGAAGAATATACACTGACACAGATTCATGAAAAGTAACTTGACAATTATATATATATTATATATAA